CGTGGGTACAGGGAACGGGGGGGGAGGGGGGTGTACTCGTAGTCGTGCATTCCGTAGTCGTGAGACCATTGACCTCGCATCCCTACAAAGCCGGAACGGAGCACGCAGGGTTCTCACCGGACCAGGCTCTCACATCACCAAGCGCGAAGCGCCGTGAGATATTCGGCGAGTCGCATGAAGGGTGCGCTGCATCCTGCTAAGGGTGTTCGGCATCTTGTGCTTACTTCCTTGCGTACGGATGACAGCTGCGTATGAATTAATTTATTTTCTGGTGCTTTCACTTCCAGAGACAGTTGTAAGCACTGTGTAACTGCCTCGAGGGTGCTTGACCATTTTAACACAACGTGGTGCGATCATCCCCCTTGCGCGGAGTGAGGGTTCTCCACCCCGCACAACATGATCTACTCGACCACCATTATGGTTACCGCCAACAAAAAAACGGTAAAAAAAAAACGGTAACCTGGTTGCCGAGTTCACGAGGTGAGTTGGCTTGTTTTACAACGTCGTTGCCAAGCGACGAAAACCCAACCCCGATGGCAAACACCGGGGAGGGGGGAGGGCGACGGGGAGGGAGGGGGCAATCAAAAGCATCGTTGCCGACGCCCGTACCGCGAAAAAATAACGCCGGCGGCAAGAAGAAAATCAAACAGCGGTCGGAGGGTGTACCAACGTTTTCTAAAAGACGACCAGGATGCGGCAGAACAGCGACNTAAAAAAAAAACGGTAACCTGGTTGCCGAGTTCACGAGGTGAGTTGGCTTGTTTTACAACGTCGTTGCCAAGCGACGAAAACCCAANGGGTGGCAAAAAAAAGAACGTGGGTACAGGGGACGGGGAGGGGGGGGCAATCAAAAGCATTGTTGCCGATGCCCGTACTGCGAAAAAAAAACGCCGGCGGCAACAAGAAAATCAAACAGTGGTCGGAGGGCGTACCAACGTTTGCGGCTGAAGAGCGACCCAACACACGCAATACGCTGCAACACACCGCATTCGATCTACCTAGAAAGCCAGACAATGTCCTTCTTGTGCTTCTTGCGGTACGCGAAGCTCGTGGTGAGCTGTCGCTTGCGCACCGTGTGCTCGATCTCCAATTGAGGCTGGTCGTTCACGTCCTTCGTCCCAACAGATCCACAGTCCGCCTCCGGCTCCGTCGTCAACGTGGCCCCCACCCCAGCACTGCTAACCCAATTCGTGTTCTCCACCAGCTGGTCCATGCCGTCGAAGGTGTGCAGCATGTTGTGCAAGATGTAGCACGTGAAAAACACGTTGTCGATGCGCTCCTGGCTCTGGTACTCCATGGCGAGCTTGAGGATCCTAAAGCGACCTTTCAGGATGCCGAAGAAGCACTCCACGTCCTTGCGTACGCTCTCCAGCCTCTTCGAAAAGAGCAGGTCGTTCTCGCTCAGCGGGTACTTGGAGGGCTCGATCAGGATTTGCCACTGGAAAAACGCGACAGAGAGAGGGAAGGCGAAGACGAGTTCGGTGCTACGTTGTTAAAAACTGTGAAATAAAAACTCGGAGACTCAAGGGGGGGCTTCGGGTGAAGGGAGGCGCTCTGAAAATAACAGCAGCTGAAACACCGGAGTAGATTGCAAGAGCGGGCAGCCGAGGTTTTGATTGCCGTATCCGACATCTCAATACCATGAACGATTTGCCTTGAAACGGTCCGAAATTAGCTGCTGCGTCATTTTCCCCGACAACAAAGACTTTGCTGGCCAGCGCTCTCTCTTCTCCCTGTCTCTGTCTCTGTCTGTCTTTGTCTCAGGCCGGACACATGTCTCTTCCAAAAAATGTTTTCGCCACTCAAGCACACGGTACTTAATTTATATGCACCTTGTGGTACCCGTTGTCGACGAGCAAGTAGCACCCCTTGAGCGTCGTCGTCGTGCCGTCCTCATTGTACACGTCGAACGTCTTCTCCGTGTACTGCTTGTCCGTCCGAATCTTCTCCACCGCGGCATCCCAGCAGACGATGGTCTTGTCGTTCGTCGAGCCGGTGAAANGCGTGTAATGCTTGTCCGTCCAAATCTTCTCGACCGCGGTGTCCCAGCAGACGATGGTCTTGTCGTTCGTCGAGCCGGTGAAACCCTCAGTCACGGCAATTGCCCGGCCAGCGTGATCAACCGTGACCTGGTACGCGATCGTGGGAAAACCCTCCTTGCCTGTGTACGAACGGGCTTGATTGTAGGGACACCTGCTCCAAGCGATATGTGTGACGTCCATAGAACCCACCGCACCCGTAAACCCAAGCCGATCGTACTGCTTCATGACGTGGTCCAGCTTGCCGCTCTCTTCCGTAGGGAGGTGAATTTGTTCATCGTACATCTCCCGTGCGAAGTGCCTGCAGAATTTGTGGAACATCCCCTGCACGGTCTTCGCGCTCATCCACGACATCTGGTATATGCTTGCAAAGCAGTTGCCCCTCCCCAGTATGGTCAGCCAGGCCAGCACCTGCAGCACCAAGTCACCAACGCATGTACACACGGGGATACAAGGCGTACACATGGTCGTTGTACTGCTGCTGTCCGCGCGTGGAAGCATCTTACCAGCTGGAGGACTGAGCTCTGCGCTGTACATACGACAGCAAACAAACACCTGTACGAGGTGACTCGAATCTCCTCTCCAGTCTTATCTCGGCATCTCGACCTAACGTAGAGTATCTTCCTGCTGCCTACAGCAGTAACAGGCGCAGCTCTACATAGTACTCTGCAGTGCTGCTGAGTAATACTGCTGTTCCGAGGTGACGAACGATTTTCGCTACTTGTGTACTGCTGTACTGCTGTACTGCTGCTGTACATGGGTACAGGGTACAAGGTTGACACAAACTGCATAAAATAGCTACACCTGCATGCAGAGCTTCCCGGTCTCAATATTATGCTGTGCTGTGCATGAGAGAAGAGCGACTGGGTGCACCACAAGACTGCCGAGCACGACCAGCAGTCGAGAAGCAGTGTGCAAGGGATAAATGTACTGGAGACGGCATACAATTAAAGAAAGAACTGCCGTGCTGGCTTTGTCCAACTCTGCATTGGTTTACTGCAGCAGTCTACTTGGTTGTGGACAGAGAGTCTGCACTCCAACAATCCAGCATCTATCTATTCAGCTTACCTTGTGCTCCACTGGGTGACTTGCCCAACCTACGGCGTCCGTCACAGCAGTCGAGAACCAGTTCTTGCTCTTGACCAAGGCAACAAGCCGAAGGAAGACGGTGTAGGGTACGCGGAAGTCCACTCGAAGCTGCTTCGCGGTGATGCTCGTGCTGTCCTCGAGGTCTTTATCCTCCAACAACAGCTATCCTCAAACAGCTGTGCTCAAGCGCATGTCTCCACGTCTTTCCTCTGTCTCTGCGACCGCGTAAGTCTCTCGCGGGGCATGTCGTTAGCCGGATCCTCCTCCAGGAGGTTCCTGCTGCGACAAGTCGTTGCGTTGGACCTCATGTACGGCAACCAACGCCACGGCCAACGCCGTTGCTGGCAGCAGGGCATCCATACCGGCGGCGGCCATCGGAAGGGAACCCGGGCTGCTGTTGAAGGTTGGAGTCAAGCAAGCGCCACTGCTGTTGCTGCCAGCGAGCAGCGCCAGACAAGGCAGCCACTTCCACATACGGGATGCCACGGTGTGGCGAGATATTAAAAAAAGGACATGTGGGCACCACATGTCAGCATATAAGGCTTGGGGCACCTTGTCTCGCGTGTGGCGTTGTTCAAGTGGCGTCAGCGGCAGGATCTCATCTCTGCAATGTCAAAATCCCGGGTTCTAATCCGGGCACGTGAAAATGAAGTTTTTGTCCGCCGCCAGCCGGTCGGGTTCCGGTTACCGTACATGCTACGGGGGATGCGTCGTGGTACCCGCCCATTTGTCTACGATGCTGAACGATCCGCTCGCTCATACCCGGGGGTATATCACCACATGTCAGTATATAATAAGGTCAGGGGCACCTTATTATCTCGCGTCGGGCAAACACCCCTTTTACAGTCAACATATTTGGATAGCCAACCCTGTCGCAAAGTTGGACAAAAAAGGACACGATGGGGTGATCTTTTTTCGCTGTCCCATTTTGGGAGGTCCGAAAATGCAAAAAAAGACCACGTAACAAGTGGTCCTTGGGCAGTTGTCCCTGATTGAGAAAAGAGACAGCCCAAAAAAAAAACACGTAACAAGTGGCCTAGAGAGGCCGAGGCCCGCAAGTGCAGTTAACCCTCGAAAAAACCACCCAACAACGACGGATATACGGTCCCTAGCACTGTGTAGGAGAGGATCCTGAGTTTGGCGGTCGGGAGTTACCGCGGTCACGAGATCGAGGTAGGTCGTGATAAGCCAACTTGGAGACAGCTGCCGATGGGTTTGAACCCAAATGCCCCGGTTTGGACACCGGGGCAAGGCAGCGGTGGAGAGCACGGAGAGGGTGGCGGGATGATCGCACACCGTGTGGGTAAGCACCCAACAGGGGGACGGAAAGGGTCCAGAGCTGGAGAGCCACGCC